CAATGTTCTTTCTCTGTTCCAGGATCCCATCCAGGATGTTATATTGTATTTAATCCTCATGTCTCCTTAGAATCCTTGTGGCCATGGGACATTTTGGGCTTTCAATGTTCTTGATGACCTTGACAGTTTTGAGGAGTACTGCTCAGGCATTTTGTAGGATGTCTTTCTATTGGAATTCAATGTTTTTATCATGATTAGACTGTGGTAGCTGGTTTGTAAGGGGGAAAATCTCACGATGTAAGGTGCTATTTGGATCATATCATATCAAGGGGGTATATTCATACTTATAATATTTGTCACGGCTGATGGTAACTTTGAATACCTGGATGAGAGTATTTGTCAGGTTTCTGTACTGGATAGTTATTCTTCTTTCTGTCTTTTCATAACATCTTCTGCAGGGAAGTCACTCTGAGTGGCTTTAATCCATTTTTAATCTACAATTGTACTTTGATTTAATAAGCAGTCTTCTAAAAACATCCACCATTGATTGCCATGACTCCATAAATGAAAAATTGGGTCAGGAGAGTTAAGAACTATTCCTAAGCTCACACAGCTAGAAAGTAGAGAATGGAGGTAAATTCAGTGAGAGTTGCCTCTGAGGTCTGGCCTTTTCATCAAGTCCTTCTCACATGACTTTCTTGAAAAACTTGTCAGCTAAATTCTTAACATGGCCTCCAAATGTTCTGGGTCTTTACCTACTGAGAGTGAGATGAAAACCTTGGCTGGGGGAGGAATAATTTACTATCTGTACTATCCTTGGAAGTAGTTGAACATACAGATCTAGTCTATGTACCAACATAAATAGTGCACATTTTATTCACATTTCCTTAATCTTTTTTTAAAAAAAGATTTATTTATTTGAAAAGCAGAGTTACAGAGGCGGAGAGAAGAAAGAGAGAGAGAGAGAGATCAATCTTCCACCCACTGGTTTACTTCCCAAATGGCTGCAATGGCTGGGGGTTGGCCAGGCTGAAGCCAGGAGCCAGGAGCCAGGAGCTTCTTCCAAGATCTCCCATGTGGGTGCAGGGGCCCGAGGACATATGCCATCTTCCATTGCTTCCCCAGACACATTAGCAGGGAGCTGGATGGAAAGGTTTCCAGGTTTCATAGGTTTCTATGAAGTCACAACATCAAGGGCTGCTGCAGGAAGTCTAGGGCATCTAAAAATGTTCACAATCAATCCCTTTTAACCTATGATAATAACCTCAACAGTGGCAAGCTCCTATTCTGCGTTATCTCATGTGAATTGGCCAGCACATTTGAAAATACAGTCATTCCCATTTTTCAGAGGAATAACTTAAAATGCAGAGAAGTTACACCTCCAGCTCAAAGCTATCAAACTACAGAATTCAGCTGAGACCTTTTGACTCTACAGTTTGGTGGTTACCCTTCTTGTCGCGTATCTCCAGTTGAACACACCTATTGGTCCTACATAGTCCATGCCATATGCTAAGTCCAGATATTCGAGGTAGTTAGTAACTAAAAGAAGGTAAAAAGAGACAAATGAGCTACTCTAATAATTCTAGCTGAAAACTAAAAGGGGGTGCTGGGGACTTTGGGATGGCTTTTTAGAGGAGTTTCTCTTGTTTCTTGAGGGATGATAAAAGATAGCAGATACACTAGGGCACTTACTGTGGAGAAAGGCAAAACAAGGTATAAATAAGATTCCTCAAAGGGACAGGGTGAGTTTTAAGACGGGGAGTGAGGGGAGCAGAGTGGGGTCTCAGCACTGCACCTCTTTGAAGCTTTATTTGACTCCCTCAGACTCCTTCCCTTTTGTGCTCCCTCCTGTACCTTATGTGCCCCATTTGGCTCTGGCTGTGTGGTAGCTATGCTTCTAGAAGCATCTCTCTCCTTACGTGACAAACTCTCTTGAGGGCAGGAGCTGGGCTGATTCCACCAATCCAGCATTGCCTGTGAGGATCCAGCATAATACAGACCTCACAAGACTGCTAGTTGATGGAACAGTTAAATGAATGACCATTGAAGACATAGGCTGAAGCAATGCATACTCTGTGTTCCTCGGACTTTTCTTTCTGGAACATAAAAACAGATTCCAAGCAAATTTCCTTTCAAGTGTAAGCAAAATGGCCACTTGTCTGGTTTCTTTCACTTAGCATGCTTTATGAAGCTAACTATGCAATCACATTCTAAGTCTCAATTCTAAACAATACTGCAACCTCAAAGTGAGCAATAAAAGAACATTTGTATGTCCCAATTTTCACTTATTCTCCAAACCTAATTGTTAATGGTTATCACCGTCTGTTTCAGAAATCTCCAGTGTAGATGATAAGTTAGGTACTTGCTCTAAATTTGGGGAATGGATCTGGACTCTGAAGGAGGACAGTAATGCAAATTTTTCCAAGGACAACTCAAGGCCTCTCAGCTTGCCAGAAGTCTTCATGGGAAATTCAACAAAACAAAGAGCTTTAAGGGAACTAGAGATGCAGAGACTCAAATCAGAGCAACCATCGTGACAAGCTATGTGACCATCACCATCGGTTCTCCAAGCTTTCCTATCCTTTCCTGGAAGTCAGGGGATGTGTACCCATCTTGTTGAACCATGACGAGGAGTAAGTAGCGGAGTCCATCCATATAAAATATCAGTGTGGAGTCTCATGCCTGGGAGGCAGAAGCCACTGCCACCCTTCACTCCTATCACAGATACTCTGATAAATCCTCAAGTTATTGATTAGTACTCAAATTAAAAACTCAATATTAACAACTTGATCATCTACATTAATTGACATTCCAATTAATCTCAGAATTACCCGAGGCAATCCCTGATGCGAGAAAAAAATTAAAAAATAAAATCAAAAAACAACTAAGTGTCCTGGCATGGATTGAAGGCAGGATCAGAGAAGCAGAGCACAGTCATATCTGATTTATATGCATGACCATGTGGGGAAGAATGTAGGGGGATTAGTGACAGGAATTAAGTGGCTTTAAAAAACATGGATGTCACCTCCATCACTCACCAGTTCCCCAGGCATTTGGGCCATCTGCCAGCGGGTTCTGATATGTACTTACTGTCTATTTGAGACTGTCCTTTTGGGAAAGGCCTGGGGGGAATTCAGGTCATTGAGAGGCCCTGTTTAAAGAGACATACATCATGAACTTAAGGGAAGCATAGTAAAATGCCCGTGTTGAACTTCCGGCTCTAGACTTTGAATGTGAAACCCTGAGCGCTGTAGTAGGATCACAGTAGATGTATAGGTCATGTGGCCAGTATGTTTCTGAAAAATGTATTGTCAGCTTTTCATTACACAAATAAATAGCGGAGAAAACTAATTTATAAAGAAAAAAAGTTGTATTTAGCTCAAAATTGTGGAGTCTGAAGTCCATGATCAGGGGTGCCCATTGACTGAGCCTCTGGCAGTAATAGTAGGGTGCAGTTGCAGGAAGGATCACATGGGGAGCCAGGGAGCAGAGAGAGAGGGGTTGTGCCAACACACCTTTCGTAACCAACCCACTTGTGAGAACTCTCTCCTGGGGGCTTGCCCTCAATTGGCTGCAGGAACTCCTAAACACCATAACTGGATTAAGTGTCCCCCTCTTAGTACCACTCACTCATGACATTGGGGTTTAAACACCTGCCTCAGCTCAGGAGCCCAATCCTGCTCAAATCACAGAACTATCAGTGTTCATCCTTTTCTCACATTTCCTTGCACAGAACCTTCTTCTCCCAGTGAGCCAAAGGCCTACATTTGCCTGGGAAAGAGTTTAAAAAATTTTTAAACAAGAACTCAATGAGAGAAACAACAGCAATGTCTAGCTCTGCCACCTTCCCCTTGGTTATAGTGAATCGAAGATCTCAGGTTGTATTAAGAGAAAAGATTCTAAGAATCTTCAAAGCTTAGTTATCAAGGGCTACTTCTAGTGAATTGTTTGGAGAAACTTGGAATATGAGGCTGGAGGGCCTCTTAGAAACAGGAAGAAGAAATAATGCTGCCACTGAGGGGTTCATGGAGAAAAAACAGGAGCAAGATCCCCAAGCCAGTGTGCTTACTACTCCCAGCCTTTGAGGGGGTCGTATTTAGAGAGGTTAGTGTACTAGTCCAATAAGTACAAGGTCACAACTAAAAGTGTGTGGGAAAACTTGAATCAAAATGGAAGTTTATTTTGGAGAAAAGAATTTGAAATGCACATGTAGTTTTTTTCATAATATATGTTTCCATAGACTTTTAAAGACCCCATTTATGCATGGATTTCAATATTTTTTGCATCAAGATATTTACCTTTGGGGCCAGCCTTGTGGTGCAATGGATTAAGCCACTGTCTATGAAACAGGCATCCCATATGGGTTCTGGTTTGAGCACTGGCTGCTGCACTTCTGATCCAGTACTCTGCTAATGCCCCTGGGAAAGTATAGCAGATGACCCAAAGTATTTAGACCCCTGCTATCCAGGAGTTCAGGCTCCTGGCTTTGACCTAGCCATTGTGGCCATTTGGGGAGTAGATGGAAAAATCCCTATCTCTGTGTCTCTCCCTCTCTATCACTCTTTCAAAGTAATAAATAAATAAATCTTCTAAAATATATATTTATCTTTTAATTCCATTTTCCACAGGTTTTTGGAAATCCTCATATAAGAGAGAATCTGAATGTGGCAACAACAGAAATGATAAAAACAACTACAGCAGTGAGAGGAGCTTACCTTTGCAGGCTCTTCCGACATGTCAGGTGGCGTTCTAAGTTCATGACCTACAATCTTCCCGATAATTCGTATTAGGAACTACTAGTGCTATTTCCATTTCAGAGATGGGAGAATGGAAACAGAGGGTTTGAAATAAGTAGTCCAAGGCAACCAGCTAGAAAATGAGTTAGCTGGGTTTCAAGACATGGAGAATGATCCAGAATCCACGTTCTAAGCTCCTCTGCTTCTTGGTCATGACACTAGCTTAAACCTGTTGAGACTCCATGTGTCAGGTCCCAGTTAGGTGAATTTCAAATATCATCTCCTTTAATTCTCCTTAACCTCACATGGTAGTGCTATTATTATTCTTATTTTACAAATGAAGAAACAGAAGAAGATCAAAGTTTTAAACTTTCACAAAATCATACAGTCCACAAGCATCACAGGAGGATTTGAACCCAGGCAGTCTGGGTTTCCATTCTTGCTGATGGGGCTTAGACTCAGGATCTGACACTACCTAAGAAGGCAGGCGGAAAAAAGACACTGGGCATTTGGAACTCCAGGATAGCACTTGAGCCCATTAAGTCCTGAAGGCAAAACTCCAAGGGGGAAAATGCTTTCAGGTTTGAAGTCAGAGCTTACTCCCAGCTCACTTCTCTTATCCACAGTCACCAAAGTTGACCTGGAGTAACAGAAGGACAGCCCCAGTCCCCATCGAAACCACCTAGAGGAATCTAACAGACTTTCAGATGACTGTTTGCCTGGAGCATCTTCCCCCTGTAGCCAGGCCTTCACACTTTGTGAAACACGTCTATTCCTCTAACTCTCCATGTCACAAACCGTCAGTGACCCCCATGGTCCAGAGCAACCTTGGGTGATGATGGAATTAGTCTCTGTCTGCACCACTTAGTGTGATGGACATCAGACACCTGTGGCTATGGAGCACTGGAAACAAGGCTCGTGACACTGAAAAACTTATTTTTAATTTTAATGGATTTAAATAGCCTCCCGTGACCAATAAGTAGGATAGTGGACATGGTGCAGCCTGGAGAATGAGATCCCAAATCGTTGACTGTGTGGCTCTTCCCGACCTGGGCACTCCCTTCTCATCCAGCACGAGCATCCTGGTCTCGTCCGCATCACCAGAAGCTGCTTGTAGCTGCTTGGACTAGCTGGGCTCCTTTATGCTCCCAGGTTCTGCACAGCCCTTGACTAGGAAAGAACAAGAGGGGGGCCTCAGACACATGCTTTCCTGAGATGCTCACCTTCAGGGTCATGCAGCACACAGTCTGGAAAGCCCTGTGTCAAACGCCCTATCTCAAATGCCTCCTCCACCAGGAAGCCCCTCTCTCCTCTCCCAGCCTACGCTGAACGTTTTCTCTCCCTCCCATGTCACTCAAGGCACTGACAAAATTTTGTCACCTCCACTCCCCTTTACACTGATTCCTCTACTGTTTCACCGTCTCCTCAGCACCCTTGACGCTATTTCGATGGAAAAAAGCACCCAGTGAGAAAGTGCAAATTAAATTGTCACACTGAATTACTGAATTCACCTGGACTGACCAAATGTGGCAGTTCCCAAAAATCTTCAGTGTATTTTAATGTGGAGTTGAAGCCAGGACATGTGATATCAGCATACAGAATGGAGTAGAGGAGAAGTTATCCCTCTCATGACTTGGGGTCTACATTCTCTTCTAAGTCCAGCCTGACTTTTCCTTGCATGGTGTCCTGCCCCCTCAACCCCACATCCTCCCACCTTCTTGACTCTCTGGAGACCTTGTTCTCTTGAGCTCTGCCAGACTTTGGATTCAATCCCACTCTATCCTACCTCCACTAGATAATTGGATGCTGTTGATCTTGGCAGCAACCTGCAGGCTACACTTGTTCTTCTACCAGCAGTAATTAGTTACTAAATAAACAGCAAGACGGCTTCCGGAGAAACCCACATGCAGGACTCTCAGACTGGGTGGAAAATGTCAAGATGTAATGAAACATCTCTGAATCTCTGCAGAGTGAAATACTGCCGCCACTCAGATCCTGAAAAATGAGAAAAAAATGGGAGAAGGCAGCACAGTTCTGCATCTTTGCAGTGTTGCTGGAGTGGCAAATACCCATGCAGTTGCCTGCCTTGCTACACTGCCGCTAGCTTGCAGTTTTGTTCCATGGGGCTTCCTGAGTGTGTGGTGCTGATTAAAGTTTTTTTTGTTTGTTTGTGGAGTGTTGAGAAGACATGACAGAGCTGGAGATGGCTGTGAAATGTGGCACGCCAAATATGGGACAGGGAGTTTTAGCTGGATGGGCTGTCTGGGGTCAGGGCTCATTGCAAACACACTTGCTCATAATCAAAGGGACTGCACAGCCCAGAGAGGGAGACGACTTTCCTGCGTGCACAGAGAGCTTTTTAGCAAGCCAGTCCTGGCCTTCACCCAGGCTCCCTGACTCTCAGCCCAACGCTCCTTCTGCTGTAACTCCAAGAAAGGGGGCAAGGGGGGCTCTAATACCAGCCAATGTTTCTTCTCAGTTATCTCCCTTTCTGTCAGTCCAAACGCTCCCAAGGCAAGTGGAGAACGGATGGGCAAGGATGCGGACTGTCGGCTCTGAGGTCACCGTGCTTGGCCAGTGCAAATGGATGGGAACACATTCCGAAGTGAGGGGAAGGTGACCCTGGGTCACATCCAGGTTTTCCAACCATCTACAATGACTATGAGCACATCTCTTAACTTCCTGGAGTCTAGTCTCCCATCTGTGAAGCGGGGCTCATAACCTGACCTGGTAGGCCATTTGTGGGGGGGATTGCACGAGATAATAGAAAGTAGCTATCTCAACAGTTCCATTTATTAAATGAGCAGCTATGCTGTGCCAGTACTGAGGGCATAGTCACCAGCCAGAGTCCCCAGGAGACTGTGGGTGTTCATTCCAGTTGGTTGGGGGTGAGGTGCCTAAGAAAGCAGCCCCAATGGCTGCAGACACTCAGACCTGGGGAGTCACCCTCAGTCCCCCTGCAATGTGCTGCAGCCCCCCTCCCCTTACACACAGGCTGGCCGGAGCCCCTACTGGCTGTGCAGCACCCCTCACACCCTGCAAGACATCTGGAGCAGCTGACTCAGGCTCCAATGAGCTAATGTTTTTATTTTCTCTGCTTGTTTTTTGTTTATAAACCTGGCTTCCAAGGAGCATCCCAATCCAAAGGCAGATGTGAGATGCGAAAGTCAACCCTGAAGCTGATCACAGGCCCACAGGCCTCTGGCTCAGCTCGGGAAAACACCAGGCTGCCACACCTAACGGACCAGTCCCAGCTGCCCTGCCCTGATGCTGCTACGGCTGCTTCTCTTCAGTGCCCAGCTCTGGGCTGGAGGCTGGGAAGGCAGAGGCGAAACCTTCAAGCACGCTGCCCTGGAGACCTTCAGAAGCTCAGCAAAAAGGAAGAGACTGTTGTAGAATGCAATGTGATCAAGCTGTGACAGTAAAAGCTCCAAGGCTTGTTTGAGGATTAAATTGGTTGTAGCAAATCCTCAAGGAAAGTTAATAATTACTCATATAAAAAGGGAAATGCAGGAGCTTTTGAAGCAGTGAGAAGGCTCTGGGATCAGAGTCCAGTGTTGGGGGGTGGGGCAGTGTGGTGCAGAAGAGAGGGAAGATTGTAGGGGGAGGGAGGGTTCTGATTGAGACAAGAGGGCCTTCTTCTTCTGGACTGGAATGTACCGTCTTCACTTTCTTCTACCTACCACGTGTTGAAATCCAGGCTAGGCTGGGCTCTAAGATCTCAGAGATGTGAAGGACTCAGTCCCTGCCCCCATACACTCATACAGCTGATAAGAAGATGCATGAAAAGCCACACAGCTGTACAACCCCTGCAGAAACACGGCAGCTGAACCGCCCCGAGCCTCAGTTTCCCCGTTTGCCACCTTACAGGGTTTTTGTGAAACGATCGAGGTGAAGCAGTTAGCAGAGTTCCAGGCATATTTTAAGAGCTCAGTGAATGTATGATGTGAGTGGGGATGACTGCCAAGGTACAAGCAGGAGCCAGTGAAGAGTGAGCAGTGGAGGTGTGGTGAGGATGGGAGAGCACTCAGAAAGGACCACCAGGCAAGTGGACACTTAGATTGGACCAAGAAAGGTGAGTAAGAATCCAGCAGGCAGAGGAATCAACTAAGTTCCTCCGATGGCATCTACACTTGTTTGGAAAAGTAAAGAGTCACTTCTGGGATTTCAGGAACTTTAATGTTAACGTAAGAAACATAGATTTTGGTCATGCATGCTGGTGGTTTTTCAATTCTTCCTTCCTACCCCTCTTGTTTCTTCCATTCCTATATTTTTCTCTCTCACTCTTTCCTTTCAGCAGTGATATTTTTAAATATGTATTTGAAATTCAGAGTTACAGAGAAGGAGAGGCAAAGGCAGAGAGAGAAAGAGAGATCTTCCATCTCCTGGTTCAGTCTCCAAATGGCCAGAATGGCCAGGGCTGAGCCAGGCAGAAGCCAGAAACTTCATCTGGGTCTCCCACGTGGATGCAGGGTCCCAAGGACTTGGGCCATCTTCCACTGCTTTCCCAGGCACATTAGCAGGGAGCTGGCTTGGAAGTGGAACCGCTGGGACATACGGGATGCAAGAGCTGCAGAGAGCAGCTTTACCAGCTATGCCACATGCCAGCTCTGAGATTTTTGTCTAAAGGGAACCTTAAACAGAGACCCATATCAAGAACAGATGGAGATCTCAAGAACGGCTGTAGAGCTGTCACAGCTGAGGTTCCTTGACAAAGCAGTCTGAGACAAGGTCTGTGGGCAGGTGCTGGTTTCAGGATATAAGCTCAAGGAGCAGTAGCAGGGAACAGGGACACAGGAGAAGGAAAAGCCTGTACATGGGATGTTGTATCTAGCCCATCATCGCTGTAGGCATCGGAGGCTGGGTTCCGCTGGAATATTCTAAGAGCCATGTGAACCCTGATGAGTAAAAATCGGAGCTCATGTAGCCTGTATGGACTGCTGTGTGTGCTGCTGTTTGGGGAGTAGGGGTCAATGAGAACCTTGCAGCATAACTTTCGTCTGTGGAAGGGACTCAGCTGTAGCTTCTGAATAGTTTGGCACAGAAAACGCCTTCAGAGTAGATTCACTATCACAGGTGGACTCCAACCATGTGGCATCCGCCATTTCCACTCAGTGGGTTACCTGCAAATTCCAAAAGGCTCAAGTTGATCTTAGCTTCTTAACTTCACTCAATTTCTCTGGGGCTCAGTTTTGTCCGCTGTAAGTGGAGACATAACAGAAAGTGCCTCCCAGAGCGATTGTGTGAGGATTACGCGGATTAGACAAGGCCTGGCTGGAAGGTACAGGTCCCAGGACCTGCCTCCCTAGCCCTAGTGAATGCTAAGTGACTAGCAATGGTACTGGTGATGAGAATGCTTTTGAGAAGGCTGGGTGCTTCCCAGACCCTAGCACAGAACCTGGCCTGTGGGTCCGGCTAAGTGACGTTTGCTAAAGAACAAACGAAGTCAGCTTCCCAGAGAACTGAACAAAGACAAAAGGATAAACATGTGAAGTGAGTTACTGGGAAAGTGATCGAAGCCAAGACTCCAAGTGAGTTGATGAGAAACCAGCCTTGTTTCTTTATTTTCAAAAGGATGAAAAACAAGACAAAAAAAAAATGAACCTGGGGTCTTGATGGACTAGAAAGGATGGTAATTGAAGAAAAGCCCAGGGGTTTCTTCTTTTTCTTAGCACGGGTCCATCTCCAACAAATAGGAAACTGCTTAAGTGATGTGGTCATTTCAGCTGGAATGGACTGCAAGGCATGCTGGGATTCCTAGGATGGACAACTGACGAGGTGAGGTAAGGGCAGTTCTTGGTGGGGCATAGTAATTCAGTGCAAGGGACTCAGAAGCATTTGTGCACTGTCAGTGCCCTGCCCTGGTAACTGATTGAATCAAGTGCTCGCTCTTCGGGTAGAATCTACACAGATGTTGAAGAGCAGACACCTACTCTTTACCTTGCTTGAGAGCTGGCCTGGCAAGAATCTGCCATTTTAGATTATATACTGGTAACGATTGAGGGGGATCAGCTCTGTAGAGTAGGGCCATGGGCCACTGTTTTCATTCCTCCTATCTGAATGGGCCTACACAGTTGATTATGATTTTGGAGAGAGCCCCACCCACTGACAGAAGGCCTTGGGGTTGGAAGAAGGCTCAGCCCACTGGAAGTAAGTAATTTAGAAGACACAGGTCCTCAGGGCCTCATCCAAGAGATCTAAGGTGTCCGAGCCGGCACTTGTCCAAATGGGAAAAGGAATTTGTGCCAGGAACCTGGGAAAATCTTGGGGCATCAGTGGGAATCCCTTGGCCTAGGTGGGGGTGTATGTTCAGCAGCCCAAGGGTGCAGAACTGACTCAGGCTGTATCAACCTCACCAATCACAAGACACTGGTAGTAGTGGCCAATGGCAGGTCACTGCCTTCTAGGAGGGATTGGTATAGGATCCTGCTCCTTAGTTATGAACCATACTGCTGCATGATTCAAACAGGGTAGGATGGCACTTGTATACTAAAAGCCTTGTGGGCTATTGGATAGTGGGAAAAATAGGAGCTGCCAGGTGAATTGTTGCTTACTTTTCCATACAGACACTAGTTAGATAAATCCTCTGCTAGACTCTAAGCTCTGGTGCTAGCAAATCCCACGTCCCAGTCTTGGGTCCCCTCTGCATTACCAGAAGCCAGCATAACCTTAGGCCTGTACAAAGTGTTCAGGAAGTCACTGCAGAATTTAGAAACAAACAATCAGAGATGGGGGATATGTGTGTGTGTGTGTGTGTGTGTGTGTATGCACACATGCAGGTGAGGGGAATACTGTCGTCTTAAGAAGAGTGCATCTCTAAGATTCTAAATCTTAGACTTTTCAAGCCGAGACCTTCTCAGGTCATTGTAGCAGAGGTAGCTATGAGGGGAAAGAAACAACCCTCATCTGGCGGCCCTGCTGCCAAGTCTGCCTTTGAGAACTAGGCGCTGTGGGACTAACAGAGGGTTACTTGACGTTTCTGGGTCTGTTTCCTCATCTATAAAACAAGGAGATTGTGCCAGTTCTTGGGGTCCCTGAGGAATTGGTGAAATGACAAAATAGCAGCCCACAGCTCAGCTTCATAAATGTTTGTTGAATGGCAAATGCCATTCCAGTGACTAAAGCAAGTTCACCATGGCTCAGTTCTGCTTTTGGCCTTGACTCATCCTCCTGTTGTGTGCCAAGAACCATTTTGTCCTCAGCCTGGTTCTGTTTTCAAACTCAGAGGGACATTCACAAGGATAGATGGCAGCAGGGAAGATACCACCCTGGACATCTCCTGCCCCTCCTTAGGAGACAGGCGAAGGTGAAGATGGCAGATCTGAAACAGGAGCTGAGCCCTGGGCACCAAGTGTGTGAATCTCTCATTGTAGCCACTTGGAGAGGGCACCATGCATGCTCTTAGAGGGGACAGAGCCCAGAGTGCCAGCTGCCTGGCAGCCCTAGCATGGGGAAATTCCAATTTTAGCAACGCTTCTGAGCTCAGGCCAGTGTCACTTGGGTTAGAGAAGCAGATTTATAAGCAGGGTGCAATGCACAGTTAAATAAAGCAGAATGTCAGGAGAGAGGCTATAAATTTATAAAGCCATAGATTGGCACAAGGCCATGATAATTTCTGTGTATGTTTCCTGGGGAAAACAAGCACAGAACAACAGATTTCCGCTACAGAGAGCATGGGGACTCACGTGAGGTCTGTTGGAGGGCTGTGGGCTGGAAGGCATCACTGGAGAGAGGAAGGAAAGAGACAGGCATTTGTTGACTGTGCAGGCCAGACCAGGCTCATCCCATCCATGCTGCAGGCCTGCAACACAGCGGGTACTCTCTGTACTGGAGTGAAAAGGAAACAAGTGTCCAGATTTGTTAAGTAATTCACTCAGAGCCATGAGACTGTGAGTGTCAGAGATGGGAGTTGTCTGCTGAAAGGGTGTTCTATTGAATCACATGGCCCAGGAGAATTTCTGGATTATGAATTACCATTAACATAAACTTCATTGACTTCTTCCAGCAAAAGTCAGAGAAGTAGGACTTGAGGGTGAATCTTTCATTCAAGGAGGTTATTGGTAAGACGTATCACATTCCTGTTGGGCCATTCTACCATATATCCTCAATACCAGTCTCCATAATGGCCTATCTGCCCAAGCTGTACTTCTGCTGTAAGGCCATGGTTTTTTTGTTTTTTTTTTTTTGTTTGTTTGTTTGTTTGTTTGTTTTCATCTCTCAGAAGCATGAAACTCTACCCAACTCACCCCTCCTCCTGCTTGGCTGCACTGGCCACCAGCCATGGACTCATCTGATAACTCTAGTTTTTCTCCATGTTCAAGTTTCTGCAGACTCCAGTGCATCTTCCATCATGGAAGCCAAAGGGATCTCCCTGAAGTCTGGCTGCCCTCATGTCTCGGCTTTGCACTGGCATCTACAAGGGCCACCTTGAGCTGACCGCATGTGGTCCAGTTCTATGGCCTGGTATGCAGTGTATCTGTATTTTCTTCTGTTGTAGTGTTTTTTGGTGCCATTCATTGCCTAACCAAATGTCATCAAAATTTACTACTTACAGTTCTTCTAAGAGTTGTACAGTCATAGTTCGTATGTTTAGGTCTCTATATATTTCGATTTACTTTTTACATAGGGTGCTATTAAATTTATTTTAGATGGTTTACTTCATTACAAGTGATATAATGAATTTGCTCCTTTTTCTTATTAAAATTTCAATTATCTACTATAGTTATATAGAGAAGTTATTGATTTTTTATATTGATCTGTAACCAGTAAACTTTCTAAGCTCTTGCAGATTTTTTGTATCTTTTTTCCAAAGGCAAGAAACATTAAGTGATGATTGATACTAGATGTCCTTTTAATTTTATATCTCATTCATATGTATGTATATATTTTATGTATATATGTACATATAACTTCATTAACTTAACTTTTAGTAATAACAAGTGAGGTGATGGTGGTAATTAATATTAATATCTTGTTTTTGGACTTAATGATAATGCACCTGATGCTTAGTTGTTTGAAATTGACTTCAGTTTTTTTTTTTATCTTATAAGAATTTTATCTTATAAAATCTATTCCTCTGTCCTATATCTAGTTTAATAAGGACAAAATGGTAAACTTCATTGAGATATCATCTGTTTTTATCTCGTTAACCATCTAATCTAATAATGTAATGTTGATATCAATATTTTCAGTACTGAACCATCCATGCATTTCTGTAACAAACTCTACTTAGGATGTAGCATTCTTTGAAGATAGTGCTCATTTAGAACCGCAAACAATACATTTATGATATTTGCACAAATGATATTGCCCTATGTAAATATATGCCACATTTCATTTCTTGAGTCAAACCAAAGTGCATTAAGAAAGTAGGAAGAGGCTAGCAAGAAAGAGCCAAATAAGATTTCCAGATTTCATTTCCATTCTTTTTGGAGATTCTGGTCATTAGCCTGTGTGGCAAGTGCTTGTCACATAGTACTTGCTTCTCCCTCTAGGGTTCTGCCCCATTTTAGCCAAGCACAGGAAGGAAATACATCACAGGATAGTCCCAGCACCAAATGGGCCGCGATAGTACAGTAACTACCCAACCACTTAAATATTTACAAGATATCATTCTGTGCTTGACATTTTACATATATTATTTCTCTTTTTCGCCCTCCTCCTCTTTGTTACCCTCCTTTTCAACCTCCTCCTTCTCCTCTTCTTCCTCCTCTTCCATCTTCTTCATCACCAGAAAACTCATTGGTATATTAATTACCATAGGAGGTTGGAACAAGCATGTCCGGAGTACGTATACTCCTAAGTTCCTTCCCTTTAAGAAAGTTGTGACAAGCTTTGTGCTGCTGCCCTGAAAAGAGAAGTCATCTAGCAAACAGCCCCCACACATTCCTCCACGAAAGTCTATGAGGAATTTTTTGAGAGAACCTGGCATTTGGGGTGGAGAAGGAAAAAGAACTGGCTCTACAAGGTAAGAGAAGGTTGTCGTCCCAGAGCACGGGGTGAGAAGCATGCTGTGGCAAGTCTCTCAAGTAGCGGGAACTTGTGTACCATCCTGAGAGATTCTAGAACTTCTGAGGTAGTGGCCCATGAGTGCCGCAGAATTGACTACTGAGGGTTAAAGCCACAGACTTTGGAAAATAACCCAGTATCCGTTCTTAGCACGATGGAAGAGTTCTGTATGTGCCCCTGGAACTATTCTCATGTTACATCTCCGTGAACAACAATGGTCGTAACAGAATCCAGCCTTATACTTTTCAGGTACCATGGAAATCTCCTGAATCTTTACACGCAGGGTAGAAGGGATGAGAGAGTCTCTCCAACGCCACATGAAGAAGTAGTGATTGACTTCATGCAGTTCAGTCTTGGAGAGCAAATTCTTATCTTCTGTGTTTGTTCAGAGGAGGAACCTGATAATGAGAGAGGTTGAGTAGCTGTTCCAGTGGACTCCAGGATATTATCTCAAATTGACCTGCGTTCATAAACCAAGGCTGAGCAATTATCTGAGGATGACTTACATTGAGGGGAAGAAAGCTATTTCTTACTGAGGGGCTACCTTAAGCTGTGTCCAAGGACAGATGCAAAATCTGTGTATGCATGCATATAGCAGGGTACTTTATTTATTTTTTATTTTTATTTTTTTACAGGCAGAGTGGACAGTTAGAGAGAGAGAGAGACAGAGAGAAAGGTCTTCCTTTTGCCCGTTGGTTCACCCTCCAATGGCCGCCGCAGCCAGTGCATTGCGGCCGGCGCACCACATTGATCCAAAGGCAGGAGCCAGGTGCTTCTCCTGGTCTCCCATGGGGTGCAGGGCCCAAGCACTTGGGCCATCCTCCACTGCACTCCCTGGCCACAGCAGAGAGCTGGCCTGGAAGAGGGGCAACCGGGACAGAATCCGGTGCCCCGACCGGGACTAGAACCTGTGTGCCGGCGCCACTATGCGGAGGATTAGACTAGTGAGCCGCGGCACCAGCCCAGAAGAGTACTTTAAAAAGTTCACGGAAAGGGGCCGGTGCTGTGGCTCACTTGGTTAATCTTCCACCTGTGGCGCCGGTATCTCATATGGGCACCAGGTTCTAGTCCCGGTTGCTCCTCTTCCAGTCCAGCACTTTCATACAGCTGCTAAGTGCCTGGGAAAGCAGCAGTGAGGGCTCGAACACCTGGGCCCCTGCCGCCCACGGGAGACCAGGATGGAGTTCCAGGCTCCTGGCTTCGGCCTGGCCCAGCCCCAGCAGTTGTGGCCATTTGGGGGGTGAACCAACGGAAGAAGACCTTTCTCTCTGTCTCTCTCACTGTCTAACTCTGTCTGTCAAAAAAAAAAAAAAAAAGTTCATGGAAAATTGAATTAAACAATAAATTTATTTTGGTGTAAAAATATTGACTCTAACACACAGTTTTTCATATAATACACATTTTCCATATACTTTTTGAAGACCATTTCTATGCATGGTCAATGTTTTTGTGCCAAAATAAATTTACTTTTCTAGCTTTCCATGATCTTTTGAAGTACTCGTGTGAGTGTGTGTATGTGTGTTTGTGTGTGTGTATTTTAATAAATATACTTACAGAGGGGGAGAGCTTTATGGATATATAAATAGAGTCATTTATTAATTTACTTACATAAACTTCAGCCTTACACACAACTCTCAAGGAAGGTCTTCCTTTCACGTTCATGATCTCCTCTTGTCCTAAAGCAGAACATGAAGAATTATTCTGGTGGTTGATAGATTTAGCATCCAGCCCCAGTTCTGCCACTAACTCTGTACTTTACTACCTTCATCTGTGACGTAAGAATCACACAGTGTTCCTTTAAATAGCACCATAGATATTGAGCGAGTTATTGGAAGTAGCAGGCTCTCGTTAACTGTGTAAAGATGTGCACACATGGACCCTGCCCTCTGCTGCGATTGCTCTGTTGAGCAACTGAGAGCTGCGCTCCAGCAGTTACCAGGATACTGAGATATACATTACAATGCAGAGGGGACCAGGACACCAGGAGCTGGACACCGGCCTTGGAAACTGATTGTTTACATTTGTTTGTAGTCTCCTTGAAGCAGAGGTTAGGTCATAGCTCTTCTGGGCCTGGCAAAGTCCATTGGAAACTGCTCATGGCCGGTCATCTCATCTGATTGCTTCTTTGCAGTCCTTCCCAGCATTCGGGGAAGCCAAACAAACAAGGTGCACTTCCTTCACCGCTCCAAGGAATCCCCCCTTCAGCGACCCCCACCCCCACCCCGAGATACAGAAATACTGGAGATCCATCTACACAGCCCATTGTGGGTCCCAGCAAGTGGCGTCAAAGTGGAGACCAAGTCATTCCAAGGGAAGTCCAAAGAGACTTGCTGTGTAGGCGTCTGAACTTATGATGGCATCAAGGCACCTGTCTGTGCTCTGAGGTCACTGCCTGGCATTGACTGGAGTTGTTCAGGACAAGCTGCTAATCCAGGCTAGTGAAGGAGGAGTCTAAGATATTTGTTAAAGAGCTGCAGTCGTCAGTCTCCCTGGAGTCACAGCTCTGCAGTCCCATTCTAGCCAAAAACAAATAAACAAACAAAACAAACAAACAAACAAACACAGCCAGACTATGGCTAAGGCAATGGGGTTTTCAGGGAAAGAAATCAATAGGAAATCAGTGAGCTATAAAGATAGATGCGCTTTTCTACCAATATTGGGGAAATGCATCTTGGAAAGAAGGTATTTGAGGGACCAAATAAACACTGTGAGGAGAGAGACCCATATTTTGCTCTGTTTATTTGTACTCCAAGCTTGTGAAAATCCAAGTAAATGCTATATATTCAATCTAAAAAATGATTGATGGATAATTGAGTGAATGCTCTTTTTTGGCAGCAAGTAGGCTGATCCTATTTGCTGTAAGTTTTTGTACAATGTAACTGTTCCTTGCTTATTGAGAAATGACTATTGCATCAACCTCCCATTTTTCTCATCAAGAATCACTAAGCCAGATACATCTCTAGGCTAAGTTCAAGGGGTTCTGGGGTCTGGGTTCAGTCTTAAGGCTATTCTAAATCAGCAGTTCTGAACCTTGACTCTTCCCCTAACTGTATACGTGGTGATGGAGAAGTCAGTTAGAGTTCTGAACTTCAATTATAAGGCTTTTTTTCATTTCAGTAAAAAAATTTATGTGATCAACTGGTTATGTTTCTGGAAGTTTGCAATTAAGAGTAAGAGAAACACACTCTGGCATCAGAAAACGTGTAGACCCCGGTGCTACCACATTGAGCTGCGTGTCCTTGGGTTAGCTTCTTAACTTCTCTCAGTCTCCTATTACTCATCTCTAAGAAAAGGACAGTAGTAATATCCATTCATTGGGCTAAAGGGATAATATATGCAACACACTTAAACTGTCAAGAATATGGCAAGCAGTTATCACTACTAGAAAGAGGAAGCAATTTCTTATTTGCATATCAGCCTTAGATATGGTAGAGAGGCTTATTATTTTTAAAACATTCTGTATCTTTTAAAATAAACTTTGAAGATCATAGCCAGTCCACACCACTGAGTTTCTCTACAGAATTTTAATGTCAGCAGTGCATTTTTTGCCTCTTACTTCTTTTGGAATAGAACCACAAAACATAAAAGGATTTCATACATTGGATAACATCTTCTGCCCTTCTCCAGATCTTCAGGATATAGTCCAATTTCATGAGGCAATTAAGAAAGAAGTCTAAACTCAAGGACAACGACCACATTGCAGCAACATGTGGCTATTCCCCCAGCGTTATCTCACACAGAATTCTCAGCTCATCCAAGGTTTCTGGGCCTCAAGATTCTTATCTCTCAAAAGGGAATTCCTGACTCACAGTGTTGGGGTGAAGCTCAAAACACAAGGCGTGTATAGAAATGCTTTTGACCTGGAAACTGACTGAGGGTACAGATGTGGCAATGTGGTCCTCAGAGCAAATTCTTCATGCTGCCTTTGGGTTGCTGGTGGTTGAAATACTGTGTAAGGATCCTCCTCTTTGCTGCCTACTGATCGCCTAAGCTCTAAGGAGATTTATGACTTCTTCCTCTACCTCTATCTCCCCTCGTCCATCTGAAATCCTAGCACATCCCTGATCTTCTTTTCACAGCTGATATTCTCACTCCTGATCTTTCCAGGAGGCCGCTCAGAAATTCTGAAGGTCAGAATTCTTAGTCACAGGCTCCTGCTGCTTGATCGTCTTCCTGGCTGACCAATGGCTTTCCCTATGGAAGACTATTTTCAAGAGCTGGCTGACACAACCCCCTCCTTGTGTCATTTTCTTCTTGCTTCCTGTAAAACTCTTGGGAGTTTGAATGAGTTCCCCGGATGAAGGATTGTGAAGAGGAGAGCCTAAAAGAGCTAGAGCAGGCTCACAGGACTCACAGCCCAGATTCATTGAAGTCAAGCATGGGTCCAAACACCTGGTGGTCTACACTGCGCCCTCAAGTTTTGCCTGATGATGTTCTGTGTCTAACTTTATTCTCACGCATTGTGGGGTAGGAATAGTGTCTTGGTTTTCCAGATCAGAGAATAGAGGCTCAGGGGGGTTGCTTAACTTCCCTGAAATCACACAGCTGGTTAGTGGCAGAGCTGGAATTGACATGCAAATCAGCCTGCCACTCAACCCCACTCTTTCTTTCCCACCCTCCTTCCCCATAACAAACCACTTCCAGACAGTGAGAATCAAGGGTAAGTTAGTGTTCAGGCTGGATATATTTTAGCAGAAATATTTTACTTTGGTAGTAAAGAAGTTTTCCAAATGAAGACAAGGTTTAATGAACAATATCCCACAGAGACCTGGATGCTGGAACTCTGGTGACAGCATTCGTGAACATCAACAGCTGCATCAGCTGGGCAGCTTTCGTCCTGAATCTCCTGGTCTCAAAGACCCAGAGGTGATTTCTGATGACATCAGCAGCCACGCAGTTCCAGTTTAGGAATCTTGAAACCACATGTGTGACTCACATGTCGTTGTTATAACAGTAGGAAACACATTAACTCGGCTTTAAAGAGCTTCAATGAAAAGTCAGGTTTCCAGAAGTACATAGTCTGTGCCTTTCTCCCGATGACAGTGCCCTTGCGTGAGGCTGTCCATTATGTGACCTAACAGCTTAACAAGACTCTATTTGCTTTTATAGACTCCATGTCCTAGCACATTCCACTGAACTTACAGCAGGTGACTAATGAGTATTTCACCACTATGACATTTTGAGTTGCAAGCTATAGGGACTATAATTTGATTGAACAATATATTTAAAATGTTTTTGAACACTTTTATTACCAAATGAGTCTGTGGAAATAAATAAGAGTTCTTTCTGTGTAGCGTAGGACTGGCAGTTATAATACTGGTCTCTTACAGACATTTGTGAATGAAGAAAGATGTCACTTCTATTTTTTTAAGACTTCGCTGTCAGTTCCTTTTTTTGTTTGTTTGTTTTACATGCTTAAAATCAGAGTTTCCCATAGTTGCATCATTAATGTGTGTGTCTCAGAATACTTAACATTCTGTACTGTTGGCATAGGAGTTGAAGACCCAAAAAAACATATACTAGGAAATAGAAAGGCAGTAGGATAGAAGCCACTAGCTGTAGATACAGCCCATCATGGATCCAGTGTCACCTGCTGCTGCTTTCCTGGGTACAGACTTTTGGAGGAGTCACTGACCCCTCCACACCTCAGTCTTCTTGGGAAATCATTACACTTCACAGGTAAATATTTTAAAAGATTTTACTTATTTGAAAGGCAGAGAGAGAGGAAAAACAGAGAAAGAGAAAGACAGAGACAGAGAGAGGTGATCTGTTGATTCACTTCCCAAATGTTCATAACACCCAGGGCTGGGCCAGACTGAAGCTTGGAGTTAGGAATTCAATCCAGATGTCTCATAAGGGTGGCAGGGATTCACCTACTTTAACCATCATCTGCTGCCTCCCAGGGTGCACTTTATCAGGTAGCTAGAATCAAATCAACTGGAGTTGGGACTCCAGTTCTGGCACTCTGACGTGGGATGTGAGTACCCATGTGTTATCTTAATCACTACACCAAATACCCACTCCTTCATAGAGAAATCTATAAGAATTAAAATAAGATGTTGGATGAGATGCCTAATAGTGAATATTCAAAAAATATTAATTTATTTATTCTCTGCCTCCCTGGGAGCTATTGACAACCAGGTAAACATTGCATCAATTCTAAAGGGTAGGTACAGGGACTGGTGGGGGAAAGTGCAGGGGGAAGAATAAGGTAAAGTCAGAATTACCAAAAGAAGGGGGAAGGCACTGGGAGCCCACTCTTGTAGGGCATCTACCACTGTGGACCAGAGAATAGAAGCAGTGTCACAAAACCCGAGATTAATTTGTTTATATAGATGTGAGAGCCTACTTTGTGTGGGCTGGTTTGACAGATTGCGGTTCTCTGGGAGATTCTTTCCTGCTCTTTTAGGTGATGTAGGGAGAAGGGGAAAGGAGCATATATTTAATCAAGAGAGGGAAAAAAGAGAGAGCAAGAAAAAAGAAACAGGACTGAATTCTGGGTCATTGAAACTCTGATAAAATTGAAATAGCAGTGTCTTGTTTGTTATTCCAATTTTAAATTAGTTTTTAACAGATCAAATGTGATCTGTAGACACAGTTCTAAGAGAAGAATGATGTTCTGTTCCTCCCTTTCTTCCTTCCCCACTCTGTCCCACCTTCTTTCCTTCTCACTTTCTTTCTGCCTTTTTTTTTTTTCCAGTTTTTGAGATAACTTATTTTTAAATTATATTACAGCAAAAAGGCTTAATCCTTCACAGAGTAAGAAGTTTAACAAGTAAAAAGCAAAAAGACTTTAGTGTAGTGAGAATTTAGATAATGGCTATACACACTAGAAATGGCAATGTCTTGAGATTTCATTGTTATGTTGTGGGCATAAAGCAATGGAACAGCAGGGGTCTAAGGAAATACAAACATAGCCACAAAGATTAACACCTGATCTGTGGAGCCTCTGGATTTTGAATCACTGAATGTAAAGAAAGTAAAAGCAGTTTTATTTGTATTTGGTTTGTCCTTGCAGTGGAGTTTTATGTGGGTGATTTTGAACTCAAAATCTTCCTTCCAAGAGATCCACTGTACTGGGAGATGTGTTCCAAATTTGCTCATAAAACTATTCATCATCTTTGTGGGGAATGATTTAACTTGTCTTGATGGGCAGCTGGCTAGGAAATTTTAATGAAGGAAGGGGCATGACCAAGTTCATATGCACATAGAGGCTCAGCAATCATGACTTCATAGCAGCTTCTATAAAATGACTTCAAAAGATTTATTTGAACAGTATCCGTCAAAATGGGCAGGTGCACCAAAGAACCAGCGTGGTGCCAGACTGCATTATATCTATACCCAGTTGGGTAGGGGATGAGCCAGAGCCTTCCAAGTCCTACCCTCCATAAGATTTGCTTAACAACCATTGAGAGTGTGTTGACTACCCCTTCCTGCAGAGACAAGCGAGCTATATTAGAGGCACATCAAGTCGAGGGCCAACAAAGCTCATTGTTTGGGGTGACATTGGTGAATGGGAAGACACATCAGTGTCCTGTTCAGGTACTCCTTCCTGGCTTCTGGGTGCCTTTGTTTCTAACAGATGGCATCCTTGGGCTACCCAAGCCCCATCCCAGACAGTGGAAGAGCCCGAGAGTTTACACCTGCTGGAGCAGCCCTTTGCCAGTGTTGGGCGCAGAATGTGAACACTCAGCTCCCCTGCCTGGAGTCTGCACAAATTCCGAGGTGTAATTTCCACCCAAGACCCTCTCTGTGGGATCAAGCTGAGGCTGGGCATTGTCTGAAATCCCACCTTTGCTTCCTGTCCTGCTGCCCCATCCCGCTGTCCTGCTCCCTCATCCTTTTCTAGGCTGTTTCAGGGATACTCCTCCAATAAATCACTTGCATTTGATTTGCTATCTCAGAGTCTGTGATAAAGGCAGTGGATTAGTCCAACAGCCTTTTGGGTAGGAGGACCTGTAGGTATCACTGGAAGGATAAAATTGATTGTTTCCAACCCCAGGAAGGAAGCAAGGCTGAACTCTCTAGGATGGATTTCAGACTGGGCGTGATGACAGCATCCTCAGCTCTGCTTGGAGCTATGAAGAAGGTGGTGTTTTGACTTACAGTAAATCAAGGTAGAGACAGGAAGTGAGCATGCCAGCTACAGCCAAGGGTCAGGATAATTCAAAGAGCCCTGAGACCTCAGTAGTTGCTGTTTTGAACTTTAGCAGATGGAAGGTATGACAAGTGGCCACCTTAATCAATACATAGAACACACAAATTTTCCTCTGGGAATTCCGAGGAAATATTGAAGATCATGAGATCTCAAGATTTCTCAAGAGACTGCTATTAATTCAGTAGGCACTGAGATGTGAGACCACCTGCTCACACGTTTCTAACAATCCAAACAGTCCTCAAGGAAACTGTGATGCTGACTTATAGACTGGGTTGCTTGCCCACATTGGCAGCAGCTTACCATCCATCCATGCAGACATGGGCAGGGCTCTTGTCAGGCACGTTGTGGCTGGGATTCCAGCATCAACCGAGACAGGGAAGTACTTGGTGATCCTTTCAACTCCTGGGGATCAGTTACTTCAAAACTAAGTAGAGAGTGAGCCTGGCAGGGCCATCAGGGCATTCGCTGCTTCTCTCCATATGGAAGTGTCCATCATTGTTCAACACATTCCCCTTGAGGCCCTATAAAAGAGTGACAGAGACTAAAGTTGGACAAGACAAAGGGTCAGAATTCTGTGGCTCACCAGGCAGACAGGAAAAGGACTCCCTCTTTTATCAGTGGCTTCAACTGCATCTGCTACTTGGCTCATTCGGCTTTTATTGCACAGGGCTGGCTCTCATTTCAGTATGGGTACACATTACAGGCAGGTTTGGCCCTGCCATATCTTCAGACCAGGTATATGTTTATTACCCCATCTGCCTCTCCACTCCCAGCCTCCCTGCACAGCACTTAATTATGTGACACTCTGAACACTGCCACCACTTGTCTCACCTCACTCTACCCTGCAGGCCTGTCCCTACAGCCTCATAGTGTCCCTGCTGCCAGGTACACAGATCTCATCATGTTACTGGGTCCATGTGAGGTTGAGTCTGCGCTCCTTGGATGATATAGAAAGGGTAACAGTTGTATGCTGAGAAAGCGAGTTATGTGTTTAAAACTCAACTGACATGGGAGTCAGATGCGACCTGATTAAAAAAAAAAAATTGGCCTGAGCTGTGGCTCACTTGGCTAATCTTCCACCTGCAGCACCGGCACCCCAGGTTCTAGTCCTGGTAGGGGTGTCGGTTCTGTCC